GTCGACGGCGCGCTCGCGCCGGACGGTGAACTCGCGATCGATATCGTGCTCCCGCGAGGGTATCACTTCACAAGGGGGGCGCGATCGAGGTACGAGGTGACGCCGACGGGAAGGGAGGGGACGCTCGGGGAGGACGGACGGGCGCGCGCGCGGGCGGAGAGACGGGCGATGGGTGACGCGAACGAACTCGCGGTGGAGTGTTTGGTGTATTTTTGTAGGGAGGAGGATGTGTGTTTGTTGCAGCGCGTGCGGTTCGAGGTGGAGGTGCGCGAGGGGGGGGCGCGGGAGGTGAACGCGCGGTTCGACGTCGCCCCAGAGGCGAGCGAGAGCGAAGCGCCCGAGTGGAATCGATTCGCCGTGGAGCTGTGATCGCGACGGATTGGTTAACGCGTGACGTATTGTCGTGACGTTGTATTGTACAATTCATCAGCCGGTTCGCCTGGTCGTGGTGGAGAGTTTTACGCCCTCCATTTCATCTTCGACGTCGCTGTACATGTCCCGTAAATTTTGGAGCGTCTCTTCGTCGGCGTCCCACATTCCACGACCGGCAGCCTCGAGCATGCGCTTGATGACGTTACGGAACGCCTGCGGATTGGATTTTCGTAACTTTTCCCTCATCGCCTCGTCTTCGACGTACGTCTCGTGTGCGCCGTCGTATACCCAGTTCTCGGCGAATCCGCTCGTGGCGCCCCAACCGACGAGAGCCGTCATGCGCTGAGAGATTTCGTACGCGCCACCCGATCCTTGATCCGCCATCGCGGTGGCCCATCGAGGATTGAGTAATTTTGTGCGGTACTCCATGCGAAGCGTCTCGTCGAGATCTTTCGGTGTGACGTCTTTACCGAACGTCTCCACAATTGAACACGCGACGGATGGATCCTTCACGCCGGCGTCTTCCTTTGCCGCCTTTGCCGCGGCGACGAGAGCGCCGGTGTTGGCGTAGTACTCCTGGATATCCGTCAGACCGTACTCGACAGAGTCTATTTCTTGCACGACGCGCTCGGTCGTGCGCAGTAGAGACTGCAAGACCTCGGGACGCGCAGTGCCTCGTTCTTCGCCTTTGCCATAGGAGTACGAGTTCCTCGACGCCCAGGTGTCACCGAGCTCGCGCGAGTCTTCCCATCCACTAGTTCCGACGCGCTCGTTCACCATGGAGCCGTAGTCCCCTGGCGGGTTGCTGAACAGTCGGGCGGTCGTGTTCTCGATGCCATCCGCGGCCATTTCTTGCGAGTGCTTGCGAATGAAATTCATCTCTATCGGTTCATCAGCCTCAGCCGCGCGCACAAAGAGGTCGTCAAGCAAACCGACGACGTTTGCGAAACTGTCTCGGAAGATTCCAGACATGTTACACAACACGTCCACTCGCGGTCGACCGTTCATCTCGCTCAGAGGGATGAGCTCGTATCGCACGACGCGACCGGTGCCTTCTTTCACCGCACGAGCGCCAACGAGCTGAAGTACGATGCCAACACTTTCACCCTTCGTCTTGATTGCGTCGAGCCCCCACAAGTTCACGCTGACGGATTCGGGATACACACCGTCAGTTGCCTCCTGGTGCTGCTTCAGAATAGCATCCGCGACGGCAGCACCGCGAGCCGCCGCGGCGGCTGACGGCATGCGATACGGATCGAGGGCGTGAATGTTTCGTCCAGTCGGAAGAACTCCTTTCCCATCGCGTAACAAATCCCCACCGACGGCAGGTGGCACCCATTCGCCATCCAAAGCGCGATGCATACCTCGGATTTCTTCCGTATTCATCGCCAGAAGATCGCGTATTTCCACAGCCTCCGATACTTTGTCTCCAACGGTGGCGCCCGCGCTGTCGCTTTGCATCGCGTCACTCACAGAAGACGGCACGGAGAGATTGAACGTTTGCTCAAGTCGCGCCTTGATCGCATCGACGCTTTCTTCGTCACTAGCCTTGCAGATCTCGTCGATAATATTCTCGTCGATTTCATTGTCGAAGTACGCTTTGAGGTACTGCGCCATGTTCTCTTGCGTCGGCGCCTTGCCGAGCGCGTGCAAGCCTTCGCTGAAGAGCCTGTTTTCCAAAACTCCGAGATACGTGTACAAGTCACTCGCGTACGAATCGAACTGATCTTGCGTGATCGACTCGGAGAGCTCATGAGTCATACGGTGCTTCTCATTCGTTTGCGCATCGACGAAGGGACAATCGCTATCCAAGCCAGCCGCATTCACCATGTCGAAAATTGACGCCCGCAGCGCGCTGTTCTCCGCTGGATTTTCTCTGTACTCGTTCAGGAGTTCTCGCAACTGCGCAGTCTGCTTGTACAAACCGGCTCGACCATACGGGGGCACGTTGTGGGAAATGATTACCCCGTAACCGCGTCTTTTAGCGACGATGCTCTCGCTCGGGTTGTTAGCCGCGTAGACGTACACATTCGGCATGGCCCCCAAAAGCTGCTCGCTCCACGAAAGGCTCGTGTTCCCAAGAGGCGATCCCGGAAGCCACTCTACCGTTCCGTGCATGCCGAAATGAACCACCGCGTTAGCTTTGAAATCGTTTTGAAGCCATTTGTAGTACGCGGCGTATTGCGGGTGCGGCGTGAGATCTCGCTCGAAGAGCAAACGCATCGGATCGCCCTCGACGCCGAGAGCGGGCTGAATCCCAAAGAACACGTTTCCAATCTGAAGCCCGGTGACAACGCTGCCCTTACCAGGGGCTGTTGCGAGTCCGATGTAATTCTCGAGCGGACCCCAGGCGGCCTCCATCTTCTTCACGAGAACGTCCGACTCGGGCAGGTATGGAATCGGACCCCACTCCGTCGGACCCCACTCTTTGGGAAACGCCAGCCACTTCTTCAACTCAGAAGGCGCGACATTGGCCCCAGTCACTCGAACGCCCGGAAGCTCACCGCTCTGAATCATCGGCTCCAGCGCCGAGACAGCCCCGTCGTAACCTGCCATGATGGTCGCGTTCTCTTCAAGCACACGCAGCGCTTTGATGATCGACTCACCCGAGGGCAACTCTTTCTCATCGCCGAGATCGTATCCCTCGGCTCTGAGAGAAGCCAGCATGTTGTCGAGGGAGCTCGGTACGTTCAGTAAAGCAGCAGTACCCGTCGCTCCTACACCGGGCGGGAACCCGTACATCATGACCGCAAGTTTTCTTTTGTCTCGTTTCGTGTTTCGTAGCGAGTGCCACTGTTTCAAACGATTTGAGAGCGCAAAAACACGCTCGCGCGTGAGGTAAATGTTGTCACCGCATAAACCACCGAGAGTCACCGTGTCGATAGCCCCGTCGAGCTCTGGAAGCGCGTAAAGAATCGTGCTCTGGAGCCCACCAACACCGCTTCGAACCCACGATGCAATGTCTTGAATGAGCAGAGGCGCCGCGACAAAGTACGGAATATTCTTTGCGCCGAGAATGCCTTGCGCAACTTCAGCCTGTCGTCCTGCTTCCATACTTCCGGCCGGGCCACCTACGAGAGGAAATCCAACAGTACTAACGACGGCGTCCACGATGGCGGCATCAGATTTCAACGAATCCACCTCGATCACGCCTTCCGATCGCATTCTTTGTTCGTGCTCAGACGTAAGCATATCGCGGACGATTGTGTGCGCCTCCACGCCGTTGATGAAAATGGGAATCGGAAGTACGCCTGATTCCTCAAAAGATTCAACTAAATCTGCCAGGTAAGGTTGCTTCGTGATGACGTGCTTACGGTAAAGCAGTACGGCAACACGCGGAGCGCCTGCGGGAACTTTGTGTGCACGAGTTCGAGCATGCCAATCCAGGTACGATGAAATCGTCTCAAAGTACGGCATTCTTTCTCTCTCACGTTGCGGGTGGTAAAGACCCAGAGCCGGTGTTTCGATTGGAGACCTCGGCGCGTTTGACGATGTGAAGAGTCGACTAAGGAACGACGTCTTCTTCTCCTCCTCGCCTGGCGGAGCCAAGTATTCCGAAGCGAGAAACGCGAACGCCTCCTCGACGTTCTCTTTACCTCCAGCGTTCCAGTACGAATACACCGTCAGCCAGTTCTTCAAATCTCGCGCCTTATCGCCGGGAATGAACTTCAACAACTTCGGGCCAATCTTCAAGAAGGACAAGTATCCGACGAGTTTGTCCTCCTCCTTGCCGCTTCCAAACTTGGACAGCACGGCTTTTACCGCTGGTGGAGGTCCAGCCTTCTGCCCACCGGGCGCCGCCATCTGGAACGAACCGACGGACGTGCAGCTCATCAGCTCGAGTGCGCTCTCAAAAACAAACCGAAGCGGAATATCCTCTACGCGCGTGCGCAGCCACTCGACTTGATCGTAATCGAAGAGCAACGAGCCGAAGAAGACATCCGCGCCATCCAAAGCCGCCTCGACTTCACCGCGTTTATTCTCGATGTCTCTATCGCTAAAAACCAACAGTTCAACGTGCGGGTACCGCTTCTTCAGATCACGTGCCGAGGATTTGTACAACGCGACGTTGAAACTCTCGAAACCGCTGAGGAGAACAATCTTTCGCACCCCGTCCCGCTTCTCCAGCTTCTTCGTCGATCGCATCGGCGGCGAGCTCAGAAACCCGACCCCACCGCGTTTTGCCACCGCAATCGCGCTCTCCGCGTCCGATAACTCGCCCCGACCGCGATCCCGTTTCGCCTTGAGCGCGTGCGCTCGCTTCTGAAACGCCAACCACGACTTCGCGTCCCGCTCCGCCTCCCGCAAGATCGCCGCCGCGATCTTTGGCTCGCGAGCGTTCAGCTCTCGAAACCCACGCTCACTTCCAGCCTCTTCCATGAACGCACGCTCGGTCCCGTCCTCGCCGACGAGCGTAATCTTTCCGAACGTCTCCGCGTACGTCTCGTCCAACTCTTCCTGGAGCGCGTCCAGCGTCGCCCTGAGTTCTCTCGCTCGCGTCTCCGCCCGCTCGACCTCCGCTCGGTCGTCGACCTCGGTCGATCGCTCCAGCGCGTCCACGGCGAACCGCTCCGCGTCCGACGTCAGCGCACGCGCGCACGCCGAGCGACGCGCGCGAGAAGGTCGAGACGAGGTTGACGTCATTGATGCATCGCGAGCGAAACGGTCGTCGCGCGCGATGCGCGACGCGTTCGCGGAGACTCGGAGGCGCTCGACGACGGTGGACATCGTTGCCGAAACCCACGTGAGGTTCACTTCGCGTGAAGACGCGCGCGCGTGAGTGCGGTCGTTGAGTCGACGCGTGCGAAGCAAAGGCGAGCGGAGCGTGCGCGGACACAATTCGATGACAACGCGCTACGTCGAGGTCTCAAAGGCTGCCTACTCGTCGTTATTGCCGTCATCATCGTCGTAATCCTGGGATGATAAATAGTAGTCCTCGGGGTTAATCCCGAGGGCGAGGAGGTCGCACTCCTCGAGCGAGGGGTCGCACTCGTCGTCATCGAGGAACGTTTCATCGCCACCGACGTGACCGGCGGCGGTGCCGAAGCGACACGTCTTGGCGCCCCATTCCTCACGAATGATTGTCATCGTTTGTGCTTCGTCCGTGCGCTTGGGGAAGAAGCAAAGCTTTAGGACGAGGGAGTAGCGAGGCAATCCCGCGATTTGACTCGGCGTCGATACGCGGTGGACAATGTCCTGATCCATGATCACCACACGACCGGGCTGTGGGCGAACGAAGACGCCCGTACCAGTGCCCGGATCGAGGAACAACGTCTCTGCGTCGAAGGCGGCGGGCCAAGGACCCGGATTGAGGTACACCATAGCGCTTACGAAGAGCGGGCGGCCTCGCTCGCGGTTCACGTAAGATCCGAAGCGCTCGACCCACGGCGCGGATGGATCGAGCTGACTCGGATCCATATCGATGTGCCAGTTGAACATATCACCGTACACTGCGGCGTTCCCAATGGCGGAACAAATGCTCGAGCCGCCCCACGATCCAGGAATACCGTCGGGCTCAAGCGTGTCGCTTGGCATCGTGCGAATATCATACTCTGGATACATCGCCGCAAGACGCGCGCGGAACGTGCGCACGGCGTCAGACTTCATCACCTCGCTGAGCGTTTCCGAGGTTAGACCCCAGCTCGCGGGCGGCGACTTGCCGTCGTCACCTTCCAACCCATCTCGTGTCTCGCGGTTCCACTTGCTCTCCGGCGGTCCAGGCTCTTCATAGTGGTCGTACCCGACCTCCGTGAGCGCGTCTAGGAGCGCTTGCCGCAGCGGCTCACCCACGACCCCGTCCACAGCGACGACGTTCGAGGCGTCGCTTCGTAAGCGTTCCTCGCCCCGTCGCATGGACGCCGTGTCTAAAACGTCCGCGCGATCCATCGACACCGCCATAGCCGTAGTCACCCGTGCGAGATCCCACTCATCGGTCTCTCCTTCGTACTCAAAGTTCACGTCTCGTTCGACGTCGTACGAGTCCGCCGCCGTCGTCGGTCGCAGGTTCCAGTACCGCTCGTGCGCTTCAACCACGCTCGCCGCCGCCTTCTCGAGCTCACCCTCCCGCGTCGTCTCCGTGAACACCCCGAACACCGATGCCTCAAACCCCTCTTCACTCATTTCCATCTTCAAATCCGGCATCAACGCCCGCGCGCTCGCACCATCGAGCAAGACCACCCGCGTTCCGTCGCCCTCCGGGTCCGCGCGCGCGCCCGACGCGCGCAGCCCTCCGAGCTCTCTCGCGCTCATCGCGCCCTCGCTCGCGCCGACGCCGACGACGTCTACCCGACCGACGTCCGCGCCGCTGTCCGCGATCGCCGCCGTGAGCGCGTCGACGAGCTCACGCGCGCGCGGGATCTCGTGCGCGGCGAAGCCGAAGAGGAACACGCGAGAGACATCACGCGCAACGTCCTTCTCGCACGCGCGCGCGGGTCGATGCGCGCGCGCGTGGGCGCCTTGGACGCGCCTGCGCTCGCGAGCGCATCGCGCGGGCGCGGACGGACGGGCGGGAGCGACGCGCATGACGGGCGCCGCGAAGTGCGGCGCGACGCCGCGACGCGCGTCGGCGGGAGGGTGAATATTTGGACCTGTAGGATGTTTTACAACAGACTCATATCGTAGTGGGACAATGTTATACTTGATTGCGTAGAAGTCTTGACACCGCGGGCGCGCTCGGGGGAGATCGCGTGATGACGCGCCGTTCGCGGACGCCTCACGCGTACATGACGTACGCGCCGAGGAGCGTGAGACCCCCCAGGAGTACCTCCGGGACGTAGTGCATCGGGTACTTCACGCTCAAGTTATGCTTCAACAGGTTGAACTTGGCGTTGAACGGGTACAAGACGGCGCATCCGAGGGAGGTGAAGAAGGCGAGCGTCGTCGCCTCGGCGCTCGGGAGGGTGCGCACCGCGTACACGATTCCAAAGAAAGCGACCGCGGAGCCTCGGATCCAGAACTGCGTCAGCTGATCCGCGGCGGCGTTGAAGTGGTCGGTGATCATCTTCGCCGGAACGAGGAGCATCTGCAACGCGTACACGCCCATGACGGCTTGGAACAGACTGGCGTACTGCGCGGCGGTGATCATTCGCGCGGGCGGCGGTGGGGCCGCAGCCTTCGCGGCGACGCTCGCCACCTCACGCCGCTGCGTCGTCGATGGACGTATCACCAATAATTAGTCATCGACGTCCATCGCGTTCGAGCGCGCCGACGCGCGTCGCGCGAGGTTCGAACCGTCGCGATCACGTCGACGATTCGGATCGCACCTCGGGCGCGAATTCCCGCGCGCGCGCGATCGTCGCGGTCACGCGCGTGGCCGATCGACCCGCGCGCGGGCGGCTCCCGCGCGGGGCGGCGGTGAAAACGTGTGCGGTCGTCGCGGCGTGGGCGAACATCGGGCGCGTCGCGCGTCGCGCGTCGAACGGTGACGATCGATCGCGACAATTCGCGGAGACGGCGCCACGTCGGCACCGAATGGTGACGACGCCTTGACGGGGGAGATCCCGAATGTGGACGCGTGTTTTGGATTCGCCACGCGAGCGCGTCGCGCGGGCAGGCGACGGACGGCGGCGCGTGGGACGGGCGCGGATGGTGGGGAAAGGAAGAATGGAAAATGACATCGTGGACGATCGCGCGGCGGTGGGTCTACGCGCGCTCGCGGCGTAAGACGAAGGCGTCGCGGACGAGCGACGGCGCGGACGCGGCGGAACGCTTTCGAGACGCGTCTAATCCGGGTCTAGGGACGACTCGGAGCTCGCACTCGGCGTCTCGTTCGGACGTGAAGTCGCATAAGAGGACGCCGAATTTATTGTCGTCGGCGGCGCGCTCGCACGAAGAGCTCGATTGGAGACACTGAGACGAGTATACCTTGGCCCAAATACCGCTGTCGCGCTCCATGGCTTCATTCTTGTATCCACCTATGCCGACGACGGCGAGACCGGTGAGACCGTCGACGCCATCGCGCTCGGGGCGAAGCTTTACCGCGCCGTAATCTCGATCGTTCACGCGGAGATCACCTCGCGTGAAACCGTAAACTTTAGTCCCAAAGCGTTTCATCGTGTACGATCGACTGTACACGTGGCTGTGTCCGGTGACGATGAAAGCACCGTACTTGCGGCAGATTTCGTACGCACCATATCCCGTGGCGTCACCCTTGTACGATACTTGCAAATCCTTCATCGTCATGTGCCACACGCACACCTTCCATATGGCCGAGCTTTGCGATAGGGCACGCTCCAAGAATTCGTAGTGTGCCTTGTTTGAGGATTCTCCCGGGCTCTCGGACCCCACGCTGGACATGACTATGAGAACTCCCCCGAACTCCATGGCAAAATCCTCACCGTAAGATCCGTACGCCTTCGCACCCCTCGGAATCTGCGAAGCGAGCAATCGTTGATAGCCGCGAGGACCGCTCCACAAGTCTTGAACGCCATCCCACCCGTCGACGTCGTGATTGCCCTTCAACGCCACGTACCTTCCACCGCGGCGCCAAACGTTCTCGGTGAGAAATCGAAACCAAGACGTCGGCGAGCTCGCGTAATCGAGATCGCCCGCGTGGACGATCAAATCCGCGCCCGCATCTTGGGCGAGCGCGAAGACGTCTCGGGCTCGCGAGTATTCGCCGCAGTACTTGTTGTCGAACGTCTTACACTCCTCACCATCAACCTTGTAGCTCGGACGACGCACATTACCGAGATAATCGGTCCACTCGCGTCCGGGCTTGTCGTTTCCAATGCCTGTGTCCGCGAGAAACGCAACTTTCAACGCACGCGCGTCGCGAGCGAGAAGAGTGACCGCGGCGAGGAAGGAGACGAGATCTTGAGCGGTACGTTGCGGAGACGAGGTTGTGCGCGTTCGCATGACGCCGAAAGACAGAAGGAACACGCACGCGCGAAAAATCTGGCGCGAAGTGTGGCTTGCGATGAATCGATCACACCCTCGGAGTCCTGTACGAGGCACTACTAACTAACAAAGAATGGGTCAATCGCGCTTCTTCTTTGAGAACAGCCGCCCGAGGCTGGATGTCCTCTTCACATCGCCCCGCGCCTCGGTAGAAGAGGTCGTCAGAGCCGGTGACATCTCGCGCAGAGAGTGCGCAGAGAGTTCGGACTCAGATTTGCTGTTCTTGAAGCTCGCGGGCTGGGCCGTTGTGAGTTTTGTGAGGTCTACATTCTTTTCCCACGGCACAAACGCCGTCTCTTTCATACTTTTCAAGCACCAGGGTGGGCACTCGTCTAGGCGACGTTCACACGAACCACCGAGAAAGTCCGGCACGCGGTCTCTACCACCGAATATGACGGCGAGCTTGTCCGCATTGCTTCCCCTCGTGTTGCCCAGCACGCGGATCTTTGCGCGTACGCGCGCCGGGAACATTGCACTGAAAGTCATCCAAACTGCACGAGCGCCAATAGGAACGTTCACAACGTAGGTTCGGTAGAGGAACTCTGGGAAGTTTGCGTCAATCTCTTGTAGCAGTTTGAAGAGTTGAACGCTTCTATTCCCCATCAGCGACATTCCGGCACCCTTCATGTCAATGACGTGAACAATCTTATCCCTCGCAATCACCCCCGGACGTTTTGCCATCTCTGGCAACAACGTCTTCATCGTGTAGCCTTGCATGCGTAACCTGTGCACGTACAGCTCTTCCTCGCTCACGCAATCGAGCAGCTTTTGCGCGTTCATCATGCCCAACCTTTCGATGTACACTGGCACGCCCAGCGGCGTGTTCGCAGTGTACCACCCTCCTTGATATCCCTCATACATCACCTTGCGCTTACTCGCGTCGACATTTTCCCAAGATTTCATAGCCGTCGCCAAATCGTGAGTCTTGTGCCACTTCGCTCGCGCAACCAACTCCTCCTTTGCCGTCTTAGCCTTGCACCCGCTCGCGACCAAAGCTCGCTCGTATGCCTCCTTAAGGTCCCGCGCGCGATCACCACTGTCCACAAACATATCCTGATGAAACTCTTCCGGCAAGAAACTCGTCTCGAGCGCTCGTAGCTCCTTCGCATAGCCGTCCACCCGTCGTTTCGCCTCGACGACTGCGTGCAGCTTCTGCCGCGCCGCAGCGAACTTTACCTCGTCCGTCTCCCTCTCACCCTTGCTCGGCGCATTCCGCGTGCGAAACGACTTGATCTCGCGAGCAAACGCCTCGCGTTGCGCCAAAACATTCGCCGGCGTCATCGCGTTCCTCGCCGCAGTCAACGCGCGTCTGAACGCAAACCACATGCAGACGACGCACACGGCGATCCAGCTCAGGATCCGCAGTCGCACCGCCGGCCGCGCTCGTAGGATCGCTAGCGCGCCCGCCGGGGCCAGCGCGTGTCGCGCTTTCGCTCGCACGCGATCGATCAACGAGGGATTTTCATCGGAAGCCAAATGTGCGCTCGATCGTCTCGTCGACTCCCGAGCGACGCACGTCGTCGCGAGGGCGAGGACGAGGACGAGAACGTATAAGAGACGCGTACGCGTTCGCTGAGCACCGTGACGCGTTCGAGGACGCATCGCGCGCGTCGCGATCGCGACGCGTGAAGACGTGAAGAGAGGTGAGGAGCGCTATTTGAGATTTTTGTACAGCGCCCCACATCGAGCGGATGATGAGGGAAGACAAGAGTCGCAATTGAGGCATTAAGACTACAAAAGGAAGAATGTAATAAGCGTTTACTCGGCGGCGATCATGGTCTCGGAGACGCGGTGGATGCTGTCGACGAGGTAGGCAACCTTTTCGACGTCTTCCTTGCCGCTCAAGCCGGCGCCGAGGTTAGCGATGAGTTTTTGCGGACCGAATTCGGTGAGCATCTTCGTCACCTCGGCCTCAATGCCCTCGAACGAGGACCCGCCTTCTTTATTGAGTAAGGACGGGTCAAAGTTGCCCTGAACGCCGGACATTTCGACGCCTCGCGCCTCGGCGTCGTGTCTCAGCACGTCTCGCGCGACGGTCCGGTCCATCGCGGTGTCGATGGTGATGATGTCGTACCCAGCCTGTTGAAGCGCGGCGAGCCCGTACGGGGCATCGCGAGCGAACCCAAGAATCGGAATATCCGGGTGACGACGCCTCACTTCGGCGGCGATTTTCGCCATGCATGGCATCGCGTACTCGTAAAAGCTCTCCTCGGTGATGTGTTCGCACATCGCCTCGAACACTTGAACCATGTGCACCCCATTCTCAATCTGCGCACACAGGTAATCGATCACGACCGTGGTTAAAATATCCAACAACTCTTGCGCCTCCTTCGGATGCTCTTTAAGCCATCGCATCCCCGAGTCGGTGTTCTTACGAGACGACCCGCCGACCATGTAATACATGAGCGTCCACGGCGCCGCGCTGAACCCAATGAGCGGCACCCCGAGACCTTCCTTTTCGATCTGCGCGTTGATCTCACGCACACTCGCCAACACGTGCGAGAGCTTATCGTTGACATCGATCGATTTCGGCACCCGTCCCATATCCTCCGGACCTTTGAGCGGGTTCGGCACCAAAATCCCCTTCCCGCCCGGCATCTCCACCTCGACGTTCAGCGCCTCCGCGATCACCAATATATCGCTGAACAAGATCGCGGCGTCCAAGTTATACCGCCTGATCGGTTGCATCGTGCACTCCGCGACGTCCTTCGGATCCGCGAGCAACTCTAAGAAATTTTTCGACCGCGCCCGCTTGTGCTCGTTGTACTCCGGCAAATGTCTCCCAGCCTGGCGGAACAACCACACGGGCGTGCGCTCGACGCGCTCCCCCCTCGCGGCGCGAATCATCAAATCGTTCGCCGGCGCCGCGTTCGGCGTCGCGCGCGCGCACGCGGCGACGCCTCGCCCCGAACCGCGCCGCCCGATCGCTCGCGTCGTCCCGAACGTCTCACGCGCGCTTCCACGTCGCGCGACGCCCACGGCGCGCTCCATCGTCGCGCGGTCGGTGGAGACGCGGTGTGCCGCGCGTGGACGTCCTCGCGCGCGACCTCACGTCGGGCGCGCGGCGTCGTCGCGACCGCGATGGATTATCCATCCGTCGCGTCCGAGGCACTAGCACCACGAGTCATGACCCGCCGATAGACATACGAGCTCGATGGGTGAAAACGACGCACACAGCGAATGATTGATTCTCCATCCATCGCGTCCGAGGCACTGGCACCACGAGTCATGACCCACCGATCGACATACGAGCTCGATGGGTGAAAACGACGCACACAGCGAATGCTCGCGCGCGCGTGTGATTTATCTCCACCGTCGCCCCGGCGGCGGGCGCGCCGTCGCGCGCGCGCGTCTCGCGCACGCGGCGACGGCTCGCGCGCGCGCGCGCGGTGGAGGCTCGACGACGCGCGCGCGATGCCGGGACCGTCGGCGCACGGACAGCGGAATAAGCGGCACAACAGTGGACGGCATCAGAGTAAACATTCGTGGAAAAAGCACAAGACGAGCGATGACGCGTCGGTGCGCGAGATGTTCGGCGCGCGCGTGCGAGCGGGATTGAAAACGGGACTCGGGGTTGGGAATAAACGAACGCGAGCGATGCGGGCGAGACAGGCGCGAGAGGCGAATCGTGCGAGCGTGTTGGCGGAGAGGCGGCACGCGCGGGCGACGCCGCGCGTGACGGCTGTGTTGTGCTTTAACGAGGTTGAACAGGGCGCCGAGGACGTTCGAGCGTTCTGCGAGGGGTTGGTGAGAGCCGTCAGGGGGGATGGGGCGAGTGAGGGAGAAATCGAGGACGTCGTGCGGGGGATGTTCGAAGACGCGTCGACGCCGCGGACCGCGACGAGCGCGCGGCACCGCGCGCGCGCGTCCTTCATGCTCATGAATCCGAATAACGCGCTCGCGTCGTTGGAAATTTTGAAGGCGTGTGATGTCTTATTGGTCGTCGCGTCGGTGACGTCGCCCGAACCGAGTGAGGCGGTGGCGAGGTGTTTACCCACGCTCAAGGCGCTCGGGATTCCGCAGACGCTCCTAGCACTTCGAGGCTTGGAGGATGTGAAGCAGGCGAAGAGGCAGGAGGTTAAGAAGGCGATGATGAATTTAGTCGCAAATGAGTTTCAAATGACGACGGATCGCGTGAAGGCGCTTCCGGCGTCGTCCAGGGCAGAGCTCACGGAGTTGGCGAGGCAGACGCTGGAGATTCGCGTCGACCAACCAAGATGGCGTCTCCAGCGACCATACGTGCTTGCACATCGTCGCGAAGTCGTCCCGAACGCGGAAGACGATCGATTTGCAACTGTTATCGTCGAGGGGTATGTGAGAGGTGACTCTGGTAACGCGAACCAACTCTGGAACTTGCCGGGTGTTGGCGACTTTCCTGTGGCGAAGATTGAGTCAATTCTCGAGCCGCCAGAGGCACGATTGAATGCGCGCGCTGACAAGGACGACACGATGGAGGGTGACGAGGTCTTGATGACTTGGACGCGCGACGATAGCATCGCCCAGCCGGTGATGCGCGAAAACGAACCCGACGAGATGGCGGGCGAACAAACGTGGCCGACAGCGACGGAGCTCCAGAACGCTGAGTTGGAGTCGATGAGGAAGGCTCGTCCGGCTGGTATGAGCGCGTACCAAGCGTCTTGGCTCTTAGATGGGAAAGGTGCGGATGATGAAGACGAAGCAGATGACGATGACGACGACGCGGATATGGATGACGTCCCGGATGAAGACACTTTTGGAGCCGAGGCAGAGATGCGCGAGGGAGGTGCCGAGATTGAGGAGGGCGAGGGATCAGATGAGGAGTGGGTGGCTGGCGACGACGATGACGACGATGAGATGGATCAAGAGACACGGAGAAACTTGGACGCCGCGCAACGTGACAGTAGTAAGCGGGCGATGCTCCAGGATGCTGAAAACGAGGATTTAAAGTTTCCAGATGAAATGGACACGCCGGACCACATGCCGGCGCGGGACCGATTTGCGAAGTATCGAGGTTTAAAATCTTTTCGATCGTCTCCGTGGGATCCAAAGGAGTCACTCCCTTACGATTATTCCCGCGTTTTTGCGTTTGAAAACTTCAGACGAGCACATAAGCGCGCATTGGAGGTAAGAGAGGAGGATGCGGTTGCGGGCGTGCAAGTCGGCACGTACGTGCGCATCACCTTCGCTAACGTCCCGCGAGTGCCGGTCATCGCTTTGTTCGAGGGGCTCGGTCGATACAAAGCGCCGAATCCCAGTGAGTGTCCGCGTGGCGATGACGGGACCATCGGCGCGGGTGTGGGTCCATCGTGGAACGGCTGGGTCGGCGGCGCCGGCCCCGTCGTCGTCAGTGGCTTGATGCAGTATGAGTCATGCCTGTCCGTGATGAACTACGTCGTCACGAAATCGACGAACTACGACGCACCGTTGAAGTCTAAGGACGCACTTTGGTTCCACGTCGGCTGGCGTCGCGAACGCGCGGCGCCGGTGTATAACACGGACAATTTGGGTGACAAGCACAAGTTGGAGCGATTCTTGCGCGCCAGAGTGCCAACCATCGCGAGTGTTTTCGCTCCGATCACTTATGGCCCAGCACCGGTGATCGCGTTCAAGGAGACGTTTAACGCACAGGGCGTGAGCGTCGACCTATGCCTCACCGGATCAGTTCGTGATGCGAATCCGGACCGGATCATACTGAAGCGAGTCATCCTGAGCGCGGTTCCGTTCCGCACGCACAAGCATAAATCCGTCGCGAGATTCATGTTCCATAACCCAGACGATATTCGTTGGTTCAAACCACTCGAGTTATGGACAAAATACGGGTTGCGAGGCAAGATCGTCGAGCCCGTGGGCACACACGGACGCATGAAGTGCATCTTCAACAACGTCATCCATCAACACGACACGATTTGCGCGACGCTGTACAAGCGAGTGTACCCGAAATTCTCCCTGAGCGAGCGACACATCGGCTCCGGGCAGTAGATTGCGCGATAATGGTGGTCATAGAGACACGACATCGCGGAAAATCTTTCACAGCTCATCGTGTATTATCATTCACAAAAAAATCGAACAACTCGAGCTACGTCGCGCGTCGCGCGCGCCGTCGCGGGCGCTTCCTTCCGAACACGAACCATCGCCTCCGTCGCGACGACCAAGCGATGAATCATCAACGACCACGCGATTAATCATCATCCTTAAACTCTCGTCGGTCCAAGTACCGCGACGCTCGCAGTTCCTGGATCTCCTCCGGCGTCATCTGCTCCCCAGTCGCCTTGAGCGTCGCCCGATTCAGCTCCCGAATCTCCTCCAAGCGTTCCTTATCCCGCTTCTCTTGCTGCACGAAGAAGATCGGGATTCCCAACCCCGCGCCGAGGCCCAGCACCGCCGCCGCCGCCGCCGTGAGCGTCTCGCCGTCCAGCTCCAGCGCCACCTGCGCGAGGTCCCGCGCCGTCGCCCTCGACGCCGTCGTCCGCCGCGTCCGCGCCGTCGCCGTCGCGCGTCGTCCGCCCGCGCGCGCGCCCGCGGTCGTCGTCGCGGTTCGCATCGTCGCCATCGCGCGCGGCATCGCCGTCGTCCTCGCGCGCGCGTCCGCGGTGGACGCGCGCGATCGACGTCACGGCGTGTGTGTCTCACCGTCTCACACGCGGACCGTCACCGCGCGATGCCGCGCGCGAACGTCGTCCGCCCCGCGCACGCGCGCGCGCGGCATGGAGGCGCTCCGAGCGGCATCGCGCGCGAACGCGGCGCTCCTGCGTAAGGTGCGCGCGCGCGAGCGCGACGCGCGATGGACGGCGGACGACGCGCTTCGCATGAGCGCGATGTTGAAACACGTCCTGGCGCTCTACGTGGGCATCCTGTTCGGGATGTACGGCGCGTACGGGTTCGATTGGACGATGTGGGGGTCGGCGCTCGTGAACGGACTCGCGTTTTGGATGCTCAACTCTGGATGCGAGATGGATCTGGAATCGATCGGAGAGAGCCAGAGGTTTGTCTTGGACGGGTTCGTGTCGAGCTACGGGTTGATGATTTTGACGTGGTGCGGCGTCAGCGCGGCGCTCGGTCGACCGTGGTTCACGTCCGAGGAGAGGTTTCCGAGGTCGTTTCCAGCGTTTTTCGTTCATTGATGTAATAAACATGTCTTTGTGCTATCAGTCGTAGCCGTGAATGTGAAACAAGATCAAAAAGTTGCGCTGTGAGCAGATTTATTGTACACGCTTCACTCTGCGCGGTCGGAAATACATCAGCGTTTGCCTCGCAAACCCAGAAGGAGCTCGCTCGCGTTGGAAAGCTCGGACATGCAGCTCAGGGACGCTCCGTGATAGTCACCCGCGATGGACGGAGTGGCGCTTACGAGACCGTCGCGATGGACCGCGGAGTTGTCTGTGCTCATGGGATACACTCGCGGATTTACCTCTGAAATGCGCGGTCTGGGCCGCTTCGGAGACTCGTCGACTTGTGATCGCTGTTGCGGAGACGTTTTCATGTTCTTTGTGGCGTCTGCGACGATGCTCTCCAACGCGTACGCACCGCGAGAGACGTTGACGAATCTCGCATCTTGACTCAGCCTACTGTACACGGTGTTCGCAGGCGTCTTCCCGGCAAGCTTGACGAGAGAACGTTCTTGAATAGTGCGCACCATTTTGCTTACCTGAAGACCTTCCGGACCGGCGGTGAGCAGCAAGTGATAGCACGCCTCAGAGATGGATTTGAAAGGACAGTCCGTCTCGTCCGAGGTGACGACGCCCTTGGCTGAGTCGCCGATGTACGACCCGTTGAGTTCCGTCGTCGTCGCGGCGTGTGATTCAAGCCTAGAGGGTTGTTCACTCAGCGAAATCGTGGTACCGTCGCGCTTAAAACCGAGCTTGGTACTGTCCCCTGCTTCGATCATGCTGATCGCTGCGAGTTGCTTGTACGCCGAGTCCGGTGCAGCTGCACCGTTTTCCTGCGGCGCGCCTCTTGGCGACCATTCACCTTGAAGCGAGAGAGTCCATCCGCGTCTGATGGACGCTCGCTTCGGTCGCGTTTTATTCCAAGTCTCCCTAATCCAGCACTGACCGGTCGAGTCTTGAAACACTATCAACGATGTGTCGTTGTTTGCGCCCACTCCTGGAAAGCACACGACAATCTTCCCGCGAGCGTCAGTGACCTGAGAGATGTAGCCCTCGCACCATCTATTGTTGTAGTGCACATCCACCTCCTCGTTCAATCGTCGCGATTGATCCACGGCTAAGTTTTCGACCGGGGGCGCCGGTCTAATTGTGCTTGCCAACAGACGCGTTGGCAATCGAACGACGTCTGCAGTCGCGTCATCGCCGCCCTCAGGAGAGACGGACAACACAATGAACTCGCCATCGTTCTCGATAACCTTTGCACTTGCCCACGTCGCACCATGTGACTTGTGTGGGCGGGCCACCTCTACCATGCATCCGGGTTCGTACGCCAGATTTGCGTCGACGAACTCTGAGCCCGTGCTTTTTTCGCTCGCCGACTCGCTCTCGTTCCTCGTCTTCGCTCGCTTATTCCGACCCTCTCGTTCACCTGAGGCATGGAACTCAGTTCCATCGTCACTCTCACCATCGATTGCAACTCTGTAAGTCGCGCGCTTAACCAAAATAAACGTCGGATCTATCGTCGAAACCCAACTCCGTCAGTCTCTCGAGTTGCGCACGTGCGCGTCGAAACCGCGCACCTTTAGAGAGCTGCCCAACGATCGTGTTCTGCGGCGTCGCCCCGCCAAGCTTGACCCCACCGGTCTGCTCTCGCACCGCTTGCGCGATTTCCTTCACCTATGTCGTCGAATGATCACTTAATCGTCAGTCATGGTCCTCCTACGTCCGCTCTGCGTGCGTGCAGGGCACAAGTCTCAAAGTCCTTGACTCCCGACCCATCAAGAATCTCCCCGTCGTCGCGCGCCGCCGTACCGTGAGCCCCTGACTCCCAGCTTCGCGTAGCGCATCGTAACACGCCCGCTTGATCGTCCCTTCACGAAATTTACACGACATCGAGCTCGATCGCGTCGTGCACGTCGTAATCGCGCGACGACCGACGGTTTCGTCGCGGTGAATTCCACCCCACGACGTTTCCCTCGCGCGCGCGGTCGTCACAACGTCGAATGAAGCGATCACGCGTGTTACAGACGGTCAAGAAACGTTCGCGTCGAGCGCGATCGCGACGCTCGGTGAAGCGCGGTCGCGCGCGCGCGTGTGCGGGGGCAGTCGTCAAAGTGCGTGCCCGTCCTGGAACCTTTGGGGTGTTCGGCGAGTTATAAATCGAGGAAATGTGATTTGCCGACGAAAGGGAGGCGGACGAGAATCGCGCGGGTTCGTCGACGCGCGACGGTGATCAGGCGCGTTTCGACGCGTCGATCGAGCGGTCAATGTTGGGTTCAACTTTCCCGCGTTCGTGCTTCGCGATCGGGGCGTGTACGAAGACGAGAATAGAGAACGAACGACCGTCGAGGCACGATTTCGAGCGGGCGGGTTCGGGAACCCGCCAAGGTCGGCGCGCCACGCGCGCGCGCAAAGTCGAGGACGATGTGAGAGGTTTTTCACCTCGAGCGTCGACGGAGACGATGCGTAACGATTGTTAAAACGTTCGAGCTCGCGATCGACGATAAATCGTCCGAACGTTCGGCGAAGATCGCGCGAATGCGCGACGATCGCCCCCGATGCTTCTCCGCACGCGTCGCCCGCGATCGTCCCTCGCGCGATCGTCCCTCGCCGACGACGCGATCGACCTCGTGCGAACGCGCGCGCGCTTCCAAACAATCAAACGAAACCCTCGCGTCGATGCGCATCGCTCTCGCGCGCGTCCGCGCCGTCGTCGCGACGCCGCGCGCGCGCGAGCGCGTCGCCGACGGCCGCTCGACCGGTCGCGAACCGAAAGAGGAGGACACGCGTGCGACGAAAAAAATAAAAAATGACATCAACCGTCATTACACTATTCACCTACACAAACTACCGTGATGCGAATCGTCAAGGTCGATAAAAGAATATCCCTGCGAGATACTACGTACTCGAGGTCATTTTCGTAGCATGAATCAATTTTGATACCAAAAACCATACATCATTCTACACATCGCTATGTAGCCGACCGACCGAGACCGCGATTCGCCCAGGCGTCACCCGTGGGACGCGCGCGATCCGTCGACACTTTCGTTCGCGTCTCTCGTCGCACACGTCGCGATGTCGGCCGCGAGTGACATCATGCGCGCGTCCGCGAACGCCCGTTCGCACGTCGGTGTCAAGGTACGCGCGTGAAGCGCTCGAACGGCGACGCGATGGGGGCGATCGTGAAAAAACCGGCTCGGATTACGTCGTCTGTTTTTTTCGAAACGATCGGGCGCGCGACGGACGGTGAAGCGCGCGCGGAGGCGTTCGAGGACGCGCGGAGGAGCGATGAAGCTCTTTATAATCGATCGCGCGGGGCGAGCGATGAACAAAGGACTGACGACGCGCGCGAATCGTCGTTCGATAGGCTTCAAAGAAGAACGCGTCCAAGCGCGCCAGCCGCGCGGTTCCTCGCGCGGCAAAGAAGAGCGATGAAGACGCCACCGAGGACGACCAGCAGCTCAAGCGTGGGATCTTCGCCGGGATCACCGCGTTTTCCATCATTGCCGGGGGTGAGGGATCTGTTCAACCGTCCGTTGCGGCGACAACCTCGGTGGAGGTGGCGCAAGTGGCCGCGGACGACTACTTGACTGAGCTCAAGACGTCAAACACGATTGCTGAGTTGGATTACGATGCTCTCAGTACGGCCAAGGACAATTTGAAGTACCGATATGACCGCGGTATCGATGAATCGATGACCATCGAACTGCTGAACGACACGGCTGACAACTCTCGTCGCGGTTCGAAGGGAACGAGGCGACGCGAGCCGGTGCAACGATCCGCGGCCGCTCCATCCTTCAGCATTCCGAGCTTCGACGCTTTCACCGCTCCGTCTTTTGAAATCCCGAATTTCGACGCGCCGAAGTTTGAATTGCCGAAGTTTGAGTCGCCGGTGAAGTCAGCTGTCGATGAGAGCGAAGCCGAGATTCCTACCGTCGTCGAAAGCGTCGTCGCCGGACAAAATGCCGAGGAGTTGCGCAAAGCCAAGGCTGCTGAGGCCGCCGCGGAACGCGAAGCCAAGGCTGCTGAGGCCGCCGCGGAACGCGAAGCCAAGGCTGCTGAGGCCGCCGCGGAACGCGAAGCCAAGGCTGCTGAGGCCGCCGCGGAACGCGAAGCCAAGGCTGCTGAGGCCGCTGCGGCGCGCGAAGCCAAGGCTGCTGAGGCTGCCGCGAGAAAGGCCGCAGATGACGAGGCTCGCGCCGCCAGGGACGCCGCCAGAGAGGCGGAAAAGGCGGCGAAGGTGGAGGACAAGGTTGTCGCGTCTTCGGGTGCGTCTATGGACCTTGGTTTTGACTTTGGCTCTCTCTCTCAGTACATGGAAAGCACCCCGTCCGCGCCCAAGGTTGATAAGAAAGCTGAAGAGAAGGCACGCAAGGCTGAAGCCGCCGCCGCTGCGGCTGAGGCCAAGCGCGCCGCGGCTGAGGCCAAGCGCCTGGCTGAAGAAGAAAAACGTGCGGCCAAGATGGCCCCGCGCTCTTCGTCCGCCGATTTTTCCAGCGACGATCTCGGCTTCGATTTCGGCATCTTGTCCCAGTACATGACCTCCTCGGACACCGGAGCTGCCTCCTCTGGCGCTTCCGAGAAGGCCGCCGCGAAGGCCGCCGCGAAGGCCGCTGAGCAACAAGCCAACGAGGCTGCCGCCGAAGCTAAGCGCATTGCTCGCATTCAAGCCCAAGAAGCTGCCGACGCGAAGCGCGCTGCGGTGAAGGCTGAACTCGCTGCAAAGAAGAACGCGGCCAAGTCTGGTGTGCGACAGACTTACAAGAAGCAAACCGTCGCCAAGGTCAAGCCAGAATATACCAAGGGTAACGCCTTCACCCCGTTCACTCCGTTCGCCGGCGTTTCAAGGTTGACCGCAGTCCAAAGGGCTCCTTTGCCAGGCATCGACGTCAACGTTGACGCCATCATCGACGGTCAAGAAGCGAAGGCTGAAGCGACGCTCGCTCGAGCGAACGAGGATGCTGGCGACTTTTTGAACTTGCAATCTTCCGCCGCCTTTGGCGTTGCCGCGACGCTCGGCTTGATTGCCGAAACCAGAAGCAAGGAAATGCGTGAAAAGCAAGAGCAAGCCGCTCGCAACGCCACCAGCAAGAGCGGATTCGTCTCGCAAGCGGGATCCGGCGGTGCCAGCACCACGGAGGGATGGTTCGACAAGGCTCTGGCCAAGTACATGGATCCAGAAGTGGCGGCGAAGGTCACAGCGATGCCGACTATTTCCATCAACAACTCTGGCTACGACATCAGCAAGTCCCCGCGTAAGAAGGTGGCGAACAACAAGCCGGCCTCAAAGTTCGTTGAAGGCACCCCTGCGAAGGCGACGACGAAAGTCACTGAGTCCGCGGAACCCGCCAAGCCCGCCGCGAAGTCCGCCGTCACCAAGTCCGATCCGGTGAAGAATGCCTCGCAAGCGCAATCCTGGATCGACAAGTGGACCTCAAAGCCGGCTGCTCCGGCTGCCACCGCGTCGAAGCCTGTCGTCGCGAAGTCTGATCCAGTAAAGAACGCCGCTGAGGCTCAAAATTGGATCAGCAAGTGGACGTCATCCACGAAGTCCACGGTCGCGTCTAGCTCCAAATCCGACACTACGGTCGCGAGCTCTAGCTCCACGGTCACCACGACCACCGTCAAGAAGGCGTCGTTCGTCAGCTCCGACAGCTTGTCCCCGGAGCAACGCGCCGCCGCCGAGCAGTGGATCAAGAAGTGGCGCGAGGACGGTCGCCCGACCGACGAGACCAAGTTCGACGACGCGAAGAAGTGGTTGAAGAGTCGTACGTACATCGAGGAGTAAGTCGTCAAGAAATTCATCTCGCAAAAACAAGAATAAATAAGTCAAATTTGCTTGCTATTCATTCCAAAATCGCTACGTCAAGGCGCGTCGCCGTCGCCTCGCCCGCCCCGCCTCGCGTCCTCCCGCTCGACATCGCAGCACCGCACGTGCGGCAGATTCACCTTCCCACACCCCGCGCACCGCACCACGCTCTCGACGAACGGCAATCGCTTAAACTGATTCCGCTTCTTCCGTCGACTCGGCGTCACCTTGCGTTTCGGCACCGCCATCATCCACATCTCCACCATCGCCGACCCCACGCCGCCGTCCAGCATCCACATCCCCCCGATCCGAGCGTCACCACCGTTCGCGTCGTCCCTCGACGCGCGCGCGCGTTCGCGCGCTCTCTCTCTCTCGCGCGCCGCGTCCTCGCCCGCGATCCCTCCCGCCTGCGCCTGCGCCGTGTCCGC